ACACACACACACATACATACGCACAGACAGACACACACACAAACAAACACAAACAAACACACACACACACACACACACACAGAGAGACACAACTGCACAATGCAGAGTGACATAGTTGTGTGGGTTTTTCAGTTCGGGTTTTCGCAGAGGCCTGGATGGCTGTAGCTCAGATGGTTGCGACGATGACAAGTCGTCCGGTACTCAGATTCAGCCATGCAGAGCAGCGCACGGGCAGGGGAGTGGAAGAGGCGTGTTCCGGGATCTCAGTCTTGGAGCCTGTGCTTCTTGGCTTTTGGAACCTTCATGCAGTAGATGAAGGGGGCTAGACAGGTGTCGCGACGAGGAGGACTACTATGCTTTTCTCCGTGAGATGGTGTGGGCACCCAGAGGATTCGTCATTGGCACGGAAGCATGCAACACTGCTGGCTGACATGCGAACAGCGACAGAAATCCCCGAAGCTCTTATCCAGGGCACCAGCATCTATCCCACCCTGTGTTCGCGAGCAATAGGGGGCAGTACAAGAAATACTGATGCAACGATGTTGCCACAAACATGTACCCACACTACATGATGCCGAGAGCAATCGCAGCGGGCCAAAAGCGCGTTTTCGCATGGAAGTTGCCGTATGTACAGGAAGCAGATCGTAGAAACAGTCGACAAAATCAGCTTGATTTTCACGCAGACATGACTGGTTGTGTTGTTGCCTGCACTGCGAAAGGGTTTTTAGAGGCTTAACATACTCTTCGCGACGGAAGCGTCTTTCAGTGGGACGCTTCGGAAGTCATTGTGACAGTCAGCTGCTGGACACCAGCTCTACGTGAAAACCCTGTCACCGGGCAGCAAGCAATGCCCGAGATCTTGTCAGCTCCTTCACAACCTTTGCATCACCAGCATGCAGGACAGATGGGAGTCCAAACTCTTGAATCCTGAAGCCTCGCGAGTGAAAGTGAGCAAGGATGCCTGTGCAATCACCCACCCCATGGCCCATGAAACGCCTGGCGCTCTTGCGGGCCCTCTTGCCGAGCGCGTCGTGTCCACCCACTCCGATGTCCGATTGCATCCATGCGAGACCTTCAAGCCGCAATCCTGGTCCAACACAGTCAACAGGCCGCCCAGCACGAAACCATATAGAGCAAAAGTTAGGTAAGTGCGTCCAGGCGGGCTCTTTCGAGGCGACCTATGACGAGGACTGGGTCCCAGGCGGTTGGACTCGCTCAGCCTGGGGTTTCGGTGTGTAGTTGCAACGGGCTTCCCCCATTGACAATTAATCGAACTTTCCTTTCGAGAACCTGCTTCGCGGTGCGTACGCATCACTGTGACGGCATGGACTTGGGCGGACGGTTTGGGTACTGCCAAGAAAACTGCCGCCTGACCTCAGTGCGGTGATGTATCTGCAGCCGTATACAAGGTATCCTGCCTGCTTGTCCATGAAGCCATGAAGTTGTTCTGACCACAGACCACGTCCATGTTGTGCAAGCTTGTCAAAGCCTGAACCCGGAACCCGTACTCCAGGACTCCCTCCCCTTGGATCGACCAACCTGGTAGAGCAACCTAAACAAAGAGCCTTAATGCACCACGAAGAGTCAGGATGAAAGGACAACCAGCCCAGACTAACCTCAAGGAGTCACTCGAATGCATTTTGAGCGGTTGCCATGTCGCTGCGGCGGTCAAAGCTGGACAAGAATTCTGCCACTGGCCTCAGTGACCCAGAAATAAAGTTTGGTCCAGGTTGAGTTGAATAGTCAACATCTTGAAACTTGTTGATCTCGAGCCATGTCGGGCAACAATATCCACACGACCACTCCATAACGAGCGTCGTCTCATACCCCTCTTGCACGAGTCAGGTCTACTACCGTTTCGCGCACAAGAGCCAAGTGCTTGAAAAGATCGAGCCAGGACCCCGGCCGTGTGCTTGAGAATGACGGCTGCAGCTCCAACGCTTGCATGGCTCTGTGCTCCTTCTGAGCAGTCTGTAGGAACAAGGTGGGACACAGAGTGAGTGCATCTCTCAGGTTCTACGGGAAAGAGATTGCCATTGGCGACCTGAGGCACACGATAGCGGAGAAGCAGAAGCTGCCGAAGGCAATCAGCATGCACAGCAGATCATTGCCTGTTCCGGGACCTCCGTTTCCATTTCGGAGCATTGGTTTGATGTCCTCAAGAAGTTGTCAGGTACGGATGGTCTGGTCCACACTGAGTCTGCACTGCCTCGCACAGGTGGATGTGCAGATTCTCAACGAATCTACCGGGGAGGCAGTTTCGTCCGGCATGGGACACCGCTATTAAGATAGTGAGGGACCAAGAGCCTCAGGTGTACACTCGCGATGGTCATCTGCTGCGGCCCAATGTGATTGTACCTCGACGGCGATTGGACTCCATGCTCGGTTCTTGGTTGTTAGGGTTGAAACCTCCATCCCTGATCAGCTCCATGTAGTCACTAGTAACCGTAGCAACATGTAGCAACCATGGCAATGATCGTCACGCGAACACCAATGTTCACCATGGAAATTTAAATACTCCCCGACAACCAGGGAACCTTCCCTGTCTGCAGCCTCAGCAGCCGAAACTCGACTCAGCACGCGCGAGGTCACGGTGCGCCGCACACCGATCCAAACACAGAAGAAGCCGGCTGTCCTCAACTTAGAAGGACACATCTTGGGGCATTGGGGCGAGGTGTTGGTAACGGAGGCTTGGGAACCGGGATGGACCGGGCGAAGGCTCTTTGTCCGACACATTGCCATGGAGTTTGAAGGCCTGCCTTGGGGAGACTGCCTCTGCAGAACTGTCACGCCGGTGAGACTGCCATGGAAGAGTTTGAGAACATCCAGAGTGACATTAGTCTACTGTATGGGCAGCGGCATGAGCAGTTGTCCCATAACTTGCACGTGAGTGGCGAGGAGCTGACATACTCAGTCGTGTGAAGCGAGCGAAGATTGCCCCGCAGCCAAAGCAGTGATCTCAGCACATTTCAGCCCCAGTGGATCTTGGTGTTGGCGTGTTTTCAGTGGCTCTTGGCAGGGGTCTACCCGTTAAGGTTTTCGAGTCAGGAGCACTATTTCTGGAAGCGACTCGAGGGAATCAGGACTGCTCTGGGATGCTTCCCACGACCCTTCACTCTTCAACCTCAAAGCTTCAAGCTGAAGCGCTTTCGCCCTGCTCACCTCCAGGTCTGCAAACTAAGGCGACTTCTTTGCTGTGACCAAAGCCCTTGCCAAAGCCTTTCTGCCTGCTGCTTGAGGCCGGAGCCAGTGCCAGAAGAGAAAGCTCCTTGCCCTCCGGAGTACTTGTGCCAGTGGCCCAGAAGCTGGTTGAGCGTCGGAGGTTTCTGTGGCAAAGCCGTGTCTCAGGCTCCTTGTGCACGGGGCTCTTCGAGTCTCGGCGAAGTCTCAGGGCTGGATCTCCACGGCCTTCGGTGCTTCAGGGCTTGATGGGCTTACCATGGCTTACCGCTGACTTGCAGGGCTTTCAGGATGATGGGGTCGAAGGTCATTCAAAGCTTCCTGGCGTCCTAGAAACTCCAGTCGGCGAGACGAAAGCCAGACTGGGCGTTCATTCTGCACGCGTTCGAGTGGTGCGTCTGTTGGTGAGTCTCCACTCAATCAATCAATCAATCAATCAATCACTGGAAAACCTTTAAACAGTTCGATCAGGAGAACCCGAGCATTGCGCCTTGCTGCGGTCGGTCTGCGTGCCTGCACTGCTTTGAGGCCGCATCCGAGGATTATTACAGGCTGATGGTTTTAGGGTGTCAGGTTCTTTTGGTCCTGTTCGCAGGCCAAGTCTCTCCATTGGCCCCCTCGCAAAAGAAGCCCAAAGCAGGCGCAGCCGACGAAGATCTGCCCGCTTTGCAATAGGTGGGGACTGTGTTGCTTTGGGGATTTTGGGGGGCCTCCGGCCCAGGGCCCATCCTTTTTGAGTGGGAGCTACGAGGTTTAACCTCTGCAGCAAGGCTTCTGCTTCAAGACCCTAGGCCCCAGGTTCCAACACGATGCTATGGCAATGCTGGACACCATGGTTTTCCCGAGCTAGGGGTCTCCGCAGAGACGGAAGGTCGAGCAGAATTCTTGGCTTCATGGTCCCGTCTTCGTCATGTTGTCAGGATTATGCCACCAAACGCAGGGAATCCGCTGGAGCATGAACCCGCGACCACCTAAACCCTAAACCTGCCGCTGCCTGTGCGACCAGGCAAAGAGCGGAAGATCAGAAGTTGCGATCTCAGCCAGCGTTCGGCAAGATTTTGGAGCTCTCCAGCCGCAAGCCGCAAGCCACTTGAAATGCCGGAGAAGTGAGGCCCCTGCCCAACCCACGGCTGGCGGACATCATCGCCTCCCTGAATTTGGATTTCTTCGAGCTTCCAGCCGTGACAGCAGGGGGCTCATCCTCAACCTCTTGCATGCCCCAATCACAGAGGATCCAGGTTTGGAGTTTAGGGTTTTACCGAGTACAATCGACCGCAGGATGCAGGGGTTTGATACCTGCGCGTTGTTAAGCCTAGCTGCAGGTGGCACGGCAAGCGGCAGCCGCCCGAGGCGCCACGAACGAGTCTTCATAGGGGAAGTCAAAGCTTGCGGCTGGGTGCGGTTTAGGGTCAGGGAACGCCAAGTGAAGCTCTCGGCCTCCGGCTTTGTCACAGTTCGACCTTGGCAGAAAAGATAAATGTGAGTGCACGTGCACACACAAACAATGTCAGCACTGCCATTTTCAATCCGCATGCCCTTTCAATCGACAGCTGCGGCGCAAGCGCCGGCCACCACAGCGCCGGCCACTACGGTGCCGCCGGCCCTGGCGCCGCCGGTGGAAACAGCATCCCGGTACGATCAGAAACAGCTACCGCAGCAAGGACCAAGGATCTCTAATTGAGACGAAACACTTTCCCTCGAAGCTTAGTGCATTACCTTTTTGGTGCGTTCTGGCCGCTGTTAGGCAGGGGGGTGGGGGATGTGCCCGTCAGCTCACAGGCGAAGGTCACTCGGTTCTTTCGTGGTGGCAGCGGGTTGTCTTGACAGTGGGTCGAGGGTTCAGGGGAAGGAGAGCAGGCGGGTGAAGGGTCTTCCAAAGGGCCAGATGACTAGACCGAAACCCAATGTACACAAACTTTTGCCATTTGATGTGTGCTGATCTTGCCTCGTGCATTGCTTGCAGGTCGAAGTGAGGGTAGCGACACCAACAATACTGAGTGTAATAGAAGCAAGCAGCAGCAGAGCGACCATCAGAATAATAGCGGCAGCACTTTAATGTGGCTAAGGTCATCATCATCATCATCATCATCATCATCATCATCGCCACACCATCACCATCACCATCGTCACCATCGTCATCATCGTCATCCTCCTCCACCTGGACCTCCTCTTTCTCATCGTCGGTGTCATCGGCATCCTCCGCCTCATCATAGTCATCATCATCATTATCATCATCCTCGTCGTCGTCATCATCATCATCATCATCATCATCCTCGTCGTCGTCATCATCATCATCATCATCATCACCATCAGCATCAGCATCAGCATCGTCATCATCATCACCATCAGCATCATCACCATCATCATCACCATCATCATCACCATCATCATCATCATCATCATCATCCTCATCCAGCACTTTGCATGCTCGCAGCAGCATATCTGAAACCTTTTCAAGGATGAGCCACGTTCACCTGATCTCTTGCCTAAAATCCAAACCCGACTAGAAACTGCGTCGTGTGGCTGGTAGAGAAAATAACACTGTTGAGGCCCTAAATGTTTGAGAAGCCTTGCACCCTAGGTCCCCACACCTGTGCCAGTGCAGGCCGGCGTGGCAGAACAGAGGGTGAGGGTGAGGGGAACGAGTCCTGCGTAACGCTTCGCGATCAGAGATTGATTTACAAAGGAGTCGCAACCGGCGGAACCGCGAGGATTACCACGACGACGACATCTGAACTACTGCAACGGAAGTCGTCGTAGTCTTACTTATTATTCGGAAGAACAACAGACAGAGCACTGTAGAAGAAACCAGGTGAAGCGACAGGAGCGGTCGCTTTGAGCTGAATGTCCGGTTCGCTGCGATGTTGGGAAGTCTTAAGCCTGAAGCACGTGACTCTCAAGGGTGGACCAAGGAAAGGATGGCGTCTCCTTGATGTGGTTTGAAGTGTCCAGAGATGTTGACTCACACCCTCTCCGGGCCCGGTAGCTCACTGATTACAGACCATATACGCTCAAATTGTAGATCGGGGTACCTCAATATGAGTGGCTTCCTTCAATAGCCATAGAAAGATGGTTTCCAGGCTGGGGTTTTTAACTTTCCAGTTTGGTCTGTATACGGAGCCGCAGAGCAGCACAAGACCTGCTTCCCTCAAGACCACAGCCTCAGATCGTGTTCATGTACTGGGATCTTGACATGGGGAGCTGTTGTCTTACTTGAGAGGCCCCCGTCCGCACACCGCCTGCGGCACCTGCTTCTTGATCGAACGCTTCTGGTGTTTTGGTGTAGTATGTACTGCAATGAGAGGCATCAGCGCCAGTCCACGAAGAGCCCAAGGGATCCTACTTGGCCTCAAGTCCCGAGCCTCGACGCAAGCCCGATCTTCCCCTCAGGAGGCAATCCATCCAACTGCAGAGCCCACCTGAGTTCAATACATGCCATGCCGCGAGGCTTCAACCCCTGTCCTTCCACCACCCACATCTTGGCTGATAGCCACCAATCCGCTGACAGACCATGCACATCGACTCAGTTGAAAGGGCATGGTCTGTCAACGGGGGGGCGACCATATATATAATATATATAGATATATATATATATACACACATGTATATGTATATGTACCATGTACATGTACATGTACATGTACATGTACATGTATATGTATATGTATATGTATATGTATATGTATATGTATATGTATATGTATATGTGTGTATATGTCTATATATATATATATATGTGCGCGTGCGTCAGACGCGTTCCGATTCCAAGCTCAGGGTTTGTGGCACATGCGATTTATGCAGCTGTCTCTGTTTCCTCCCTCTCTTTCAGAAGGGTAAAGAAAGTACAGACAAGTAAATGCATGTATATATATATATATGTATATATATATATATATATGATTATGTGTTTACTTAGATTCTAGATGTGACAGATGGTGTGTTTGGAAGTAGACAGAGATCTGAGGCCAATGTGATGGTTACGCCGTGAACTCAGCAGCAAAGAATAGCGGCGTCGCGAAGCAGCTCTGTGATGACTCAGGCCGCCGATGCTGTCGAAAGAGCAGTTTTACGCGTGGCAGCAGTTGGGTCCCCAGACACATTGCAGTATTCCTGACCTGCTTTGCATCCGTCGTCATGCTGCTTGCTGCTGTTGCCTGCGGCAGGTCGCTGATGATGGCAAAATCTGTAAAAGACCGGAATAGGGACAGACGCCGAAGGCGCCGGCGGTCGCCTGGAAGCTCAGAGTGACCCGACGCTGACACCTGTGTCCGAACGGACTGCTGTGCAAACGCATGTGGGCAAAAAGTGAGCAGATCCTCCTCATATTGAACAGCCCCAAGTCTGAAATGCAAGCCGCTCAGAGCTAGCAACTTAAAAAGTCTGCAACTGGAGCCTGGGCCTGCGCTGCGGCAGCACTCGCAAGGAACCCTCAGCAGAATCTCGTCAGCAGACAGGAAAGAGCTACTGTACGATCGCCACCGAGCTTGCACTGTTCACAAGGCTGCGTACACTCACCACGCTTGCAGTTGAAACACGTCCTCATTCCTCGTTTCGTTGTTTTATATCTATCTGCAGTTGTCAATACATGACTTCGCTTTTCGCTCCAAGAAGCTCTGACATGAAGTTCCCCATCGGTTTTGTGGTGCAGTCCACACGAGGCTCCGTACATAGCAAGGCAGGTTGGATCGAATGAATCCTTTGGGGTTCCAGCTTGCATGATAAGGTTACAGTCTTTCTTTAACGTTTCATTTCCGAAGCATTCCCAGTAACCACTTTCAGAACCCTGAACCCTAAAAGCCCCAAAGTCCTAAGCCTTGAAAGCCCTGTCCTAAACGGTAAAACTTGACCCGTTTGTCGGTTTGTCCTCGCAGGACGAGAGTGACGCGGGCAGCGAGACTGATGCCGAGGTAGAGGCCAGGCGCAGGAGTAAATCAAAGTCCCAGTTGCATTGAAGATGCAGGTACATGTCGATGTGAAGAGTTACCACCGCATGTACACAGGTACGTGCGCTAGATAGGTGCCGAACTGTGTGAATGTGTCCATATGCTGTATATATATTTCTACACATGTATCTTGTATATATATATATATATGTGTGTGTGTGTGTATGTGTGTATATGTATGTATGTAAGTGTATGTATCTGTGTATATATATATATATGTATGTGTATGTCCAATTTCCATTTCAAGGCATTCAGAGGTCGTACGCAGCACTAATTAAGGGTGCACAACAGCCCTCAGCGACCGAAACGGCGCTGCCCGTCCTAGAACTGTTCGGTAGCCTGCATGGAGGGTAGGCCTGCGCGCCCCGTGCATGCCCCGAACACTTCCCAAACCACGGCCCTGCGTCTTCTAGTGTCGCCTCACAGGCCTTTTGATTTGTTGAAGGTGTGGGCCC